TTTAATTTATTTTTTTTCTTTCCCTACTTTTTTTTTTTTTTCTTTTTAGTCTAGACTAAATTCTGACAGCACAGTTCTTTGTATTGGCTGTCCCTTCATTTGAGATACTGTAACACTGTTCCTCTTTTATTCGCCATTTGTCCTTTTGTTTTATGGCTCTCTTTGTTGCAAGCTTCTTTGTTGTTTCTTCCAGATTATTCTCCTCAGGGACTTCTGTATCAGTATGACTGAACATTGCTTGCAGCCATGCCAGATTGTGCTGTGATCTTATTGGATTTCACAAACCAAGGTTAGGCCAGGTCAGAACTTGGTTGAAATAACGTGGACTACAAGATTGCCTGCTAGCCACTGGGAACACACACAACAAACACCTGGCCCAGATGTCGCTCAGTCAGCTCAGGCTGGCCGTGTTGCCGTGCTGACTGCGCTGGGTGTGATGCTAATGCCAGGTTCTGACCTGTTCTGGCTGGTAGGATTTCACAGATTTTTTCTTAGAGAAGAGTACTGTTGTTAATTCCAGTGTTCTGGCTCATTCCAAATCCTTTAATTCTCTGTTTGGATTACACTGGAATTCAGTTGAAGATTATATTCTCTGATCTTCTTTTCCCTGTACTGTTGCAAGATGATTGCCCTCAAAACTTGCTGTGCTGTTCAAAAAGATGCATTTGTGTGCTGCATGAAATAATTACAAAATTTTCTTTGCTTTGCTGATCATCTGAAAAAAAAAATAGAGAAAAACCCCACAATCTTCAGGTTAAATGTTCCAGAAAGGTAGAAATTTTTAGTAAAAATAACACATGAAAATTACAGTTGAGTTTTTCTTAGAGTTGCTTGAGGTTTCTGACCAAAAGACTGTATGAGGATGTGTTAGTATGTTCAGAGTTAGCTTCACTGAGTGCATATCAGGTGGAAAATCGCATGCTGTTACACTTGAGTGCCCCAAAATGATAGGAAGATTGAATATATAGGTAAGGCTTTTCTAATTCATTGTAGAGGTATTCGGACCTGTTGTTGCTCTGTATGGTTTTTAATAGCTTATTCCTTTAAATAAAGCTGTGAGAGGCTAGAAGGTGAATATAGAAAAGGATGTAATTTTGTGAAATAAAGGCCAAAATTAACTTGGGTTACATCCCTTGTTTCATCCCTTCACTAAGCCTGAGGGAGGGCTGCTGGAGGGTTCATTTGCCTGGGTCTGTGCTGGAACAATACTCATGAAGCTGTGGAAAGAACAGTACAGCCAGCTTGATTTACCTTGATGTGCCCAGGTGTACAGTGATGGACTTAGATCTGTCACAAAACCTGAATATATCTAGCTAGGCAGCAGCCATTAACAGCACAGCCATTAAGAACATTTAAAGAGTGTAAATTGTGAATCTGCAGAGGAATTAGTGAGGTATGAAAGGGCAGGGGTGACTAGGAGTCAGTAAATGAAATACTTCACAGGCTGGATCAGGAAAAGCTTCTTGTCAGTTTAAGCTGTAAAGTACTGTGATATCTTTCTGTGTAGAGTAATGTGGTATCTTTCTGTGAATATGTAAAACAAGTTTCAGGGTTCAAGTCTGTAATGCATTTTGCATACTGGGACAATTTGCTGTGGCTGGATGTGGACCAGATAATCAGGTGTTTATCCCCCTGGAGTATTTTCATCTCTTGAAAGTTTTGGGTCTTCTTTTACCACTCAGTACCTGTATATAGAGGAAAAATACTGAATATCTTGACTTTTAAATCCAAGTTTATATACATTTCTGCATAGAAAAGATGAAAAATTTAAAATAGGAGTAGGAAGATTAATGTTCTATAAAAGATGGGATTTACAGTTTGATTGTAAGTGTTTGGCATTGAGGTTACCCATAATTATTCTTAATAGGTAAATTATCTCTGTCTCTGATAATCCTAATTGTCAGTGCAAAGCTTGGCACTGCCAGCAGAGATATGGAAGGTGTAGTGTAGAAGAAGGCTGGAAGGAGTCTTTCATCTTTGCCATCCCTTGCCAAGGGCTTACTGTAAATGCAAATTCATCAGCATTTCTATTGTGGTGCATTTATATATCCTGGAGAGGCTGAAATCTGAGAATTAATTGCTGTGTGTGCTCAGGGGGCCACTCTGCAGTGGGAGACTCTTCAGGACTGGGACAGTGGTGCCTGATGTTGCTGCAGCATTAATGAATATGTGGGGGAATGTCCTGCAGAAGAGCATGAAGAGCTCTGTTGATTGATTCTGTCCTTGCCTCATTTGTTTTAGGAAGAGCCAGCCTGGCTAACCCTTTGTAAGAAAACAGCTTGGCTGATGTTCACCTGCTGAACAGATATGCTGGATATGCTTGAGGGGGTGGTGGAGTGGTGGTGTCTGTGCAGGGGACAGATAGCTGTTGTTTTCAGCTGTTATTTACAGGATCAATAAAACTGATTTTCCAATTCAAGGATAATTTTTACCAACAAGCTACACAGCCTATAAGGTCATAATATTGGATCTGCTATTTTTCAGAACAAGTTAATTTAAAAATGATAGGTATTTGCCAGCTCAGGATTAGTTTTTCTAGTAGAAAGGAGAGATGTATCTGGAAGATACACCTTGGGAGGGGGTGAGCATTTTGCCTCAGAATAACATTGTTGCACACTGCCCACAGTCCTTTTCTTTGAGCAATAATTTAACTGTGCATGATACTTTAATGACAAATGCAGTATAATAAGAAAATGCAGAGCTGTTTTATTACAATCCTGGTTCAGTTACTATGTGCAAATACTGCTGTGGACTTTAGTGGGCAATGACAGATGCCCTCTGTAAAGTGCAATATATTTTATTTTTATGTCACTGTAGAGAAGAATATTTGTGATGTTGTGGAACTATCCCTGGCCAATAGCAAGTGTATTGACACATATATGTCCAATGCCATTCATTTCTACTGAAGTTACTTTATTTTTTTGTGGCCTGTTGAGAAAGTCTCACGGACATGACTCATACACACACACATATTTTAATACTACATTTCTCCCTCTGCATTTGCCCTTCTTCCCCATTGCACACTTAAGATCAGGCACAATTTAAAAGGAGTACCAGTATGAGGCTTCTGCAGTTGTGCCTGTGTGATTGGGGTGAGATACAGCTTTGAAAGAGTAAAATCATGCAGCTGTCATTTTATAAGCAGGTGACCACACCTACTGTCAGTATGAATTCTGTAGGGTGAGGAGAAAATAGCCAAGAAGTGTTCTTCCATTGAAAGCAGTCTGAATGAACTTTATATGCCAGAAAAGTTGATTAGAATTTTAGATTTTAGAAAACAACCCTCTTTATTTTTTCAACCCATTGCAAACCCCAGAGCATCATGAAACATAACCAGAGTCTCTGTCCTTTTCCCGTACTTTGGTGAATCTCGGGCTTTTGTAGTTATTATCTATGAAATATGCAGTCTGTGGAAGTCCACATAAAAATCAAATGCCATTACCTTTGAGAAGGTTTGGATTCAGACCAAAAATACTCTAAGTCTTCATGTGCCATTTTTCTCAAAGTCTACACATCCATTTATGGTTCCCTTTCCTCCTTTATGTATTGGAGTAGTAGAGGAAAAGAATGGAGGAATGTTGGTTTGATTTAGAAGAATTTGATGGTGAAGATTTGTTTAAAATATGAAAAGATATTTTTCTTTACTGTGATTGGAGCAAAGTTTTCCTTTTTTAGATGGTAAATAGTTTATCATGTGTGAGTAAGAATTTGGCTTTTGGATGGCTGTGTTGTTGATGAGAGCTACTGGCAACAGACACTTTGTAAACACCAAACTGCTAGTTTATTAAAAGAATAATAGGAACAGATGTTTTCAATTCATAAAATGTATCAAGTAAATGGTACATCCACTTGTTATTTCAATTCCTTTGAATTTCTGTGAACTCATTTGGGGCTAGGTTCTCAAAAGAGCTTAGCCCACTGTCACTTCATTGTTCTCCCTGTAAACTGATGGATGATGAACGTGTTTGGGAGCTGCAGCTTTTTATGCCTAAAGGGGAGCTCCTAACTACTGAGGCTTCTGAAATCTGGCCCATGTTTCTGATGAGTGAATACTGATCATTATGGAGGATTCATACATGCAGTCTCTGAGTAATACCCTGCATTTGCCTGTGATTGTATATATGATGGTTTCTTAATTTACTATTGCACTAGGCATTTTAATTCAAATTATGCTAATAGTGTAGGATTAGCTGTGGATTATGATTCTAGCATGTACTGTCATTCAAACAGAAGAACCAGTTCTTTAGCTCCTAGAGCCTCTTTCTCCCTCTCATCCTTATGTGTAGTAATTTGTGCTCAAGACTGGCCTCAGGTTTTGATGAGGTTTCTTGTTTAAGCTGATGAGATTGCTTAGGGAAGGCAGTTGTTGAAAATCATTAGAAGAGAGACTGAGATTCTTTTTGTCTTCTGATGACACATTTTTACGGTGCTGAAAAGATTTTTTGAAAACAGTGATTAGAATGGGCCCTTGCCAGCACTGCACAGTGAACAGTTCTGGTTTTGCCTTCGTTCCTCAGTGGTAGGACAGGCTGCACATACTTTGCTTTTGCATTTTGACTCCAATACATATTTGAGAAAACTATTGCTAGAGGGTTATGTTAAAATCACCAGAAAGCTCGTAGAATAAATAATACATGCAAGAGAACTGATGTTACATTGGTCCTTGCTAGAGCATATAGCACAAAGCCAGTTTTGTTCTTTGCCAGTACTGAAAAAAAGCTTTCTAGCCACCCAAGATGGCTCTTCTTGAAGCATAACCTTTCCAGAGAGCTTCTCCTCCCCCAAACTGCAGATGTGCTGGAAACACAAATTTGCCTCTTTAGTGTTTGCACTTGTTTCGTTAGATTGTAATGGCATGCAGCCTGTTTGCATTAGTGAATTCGTCTGTATTCCTTCAAATCCCTCATTTGTTGCATTTTTTGTGGAGTGCCTGATATTTCTGGTGACTTTGTGTTGTAGCAGCAGTCTAAAATCTGCCTTTTTTCTCTTTCTTCCTCCAGCTGATATTATTTCTACAGTTGAGTTCAACCACACTGGAGAACTGCTGGCTACTGGTGACAAGGGGGGCCGAGTTGTTATATTCCAAAGGGAACCTGAGGTATGTGGGTTACCAGTGTCATCCTCAATAGCCTGAGCAAACCTGGCTTAATTTTTAACACTTCATTTGAGTTGAATTAACAAACTTGTTTATAATCTCATGATTCAGTAAAACAGAGTGTCATCTGTTCAGAGAGGAAGTGAAATAGAGTAAGGATTTTTAACTTGTAAGTTTGCTGCCCCAAACAAAAATGCTTCAAAGCTTCAAAATTCTGATATAAGATAAAAGAAGATTATTTTTGTTTTACTTCTTTCTTCTTTTAATAGATTTTTCCTGATAATGGAACCCTGTTCTGTTTAAAGCAATACCTTCACTTACCTTTATTTTCCACTTGTAAATTCCATTCATCTGCAGTATCTTGTGTAGAAGTCTTCCTGAATAGCTGACATTTCTTCAAAAATTCGAATATTAAGTGTTTCAATACTCACAGGAAATTTTATTCTTGCTGAAACACATCTGTCAATATCATGCTTTAAATGAGAAATTAAATTACATTACTAATATTTTTTATATTTGTAAGGCTGTTTCTATACCTTTCCTAAGAGATGAAGATATATTGCTGTCATAAACAACGTTTCTGTTGTTCTTATTCTCCCTAGAGTAAAAATGAGCCTTACAATCAGGGGGAGTACAATGTTTACAGCACTTTCCAGAGCCATGAACCTGAATTTGATTATTTGAAGAGTTTGGAGATAGAAGAAAAAATAAACAAGATCAAGTGGTTACCACAGCAAAATGCAGCTCACTCACTCCTATCAACAAATGGTGAGATTGATGACAGTATGCAGGACATAGCAGTATTTGCAGTATTTGCTCTGTGTGTTTTAGTGCTGACGTATATATTTGCTCATTTTAATCTACTGGTGTAGTAATTTCCTCTTTCAGAGTTTACCAAGACTCTCATACTGCCTCTGATATCTGTTGTTTGTATATTTTATTCATAGAATCATGAGGTTTTTCCAATTGATTATTCATGGGCATTTAAAGAGTTATCCATTTTTCTATTAATATGCAGTGCTATACTGAAATAGATCATGTGACAAAGGCATCACCTTACTCAGCAGCTTGTGTTTCATGGGAAATTAAGAATTTTTTCTGCTGTATTTGTCATAACTTTTATTATTTGTAGATGTGTAGATGAAGGTAGGTGAGAGAGATTAATTTATTTTTCTTTTCATTCATTATCATCAGAATAGTTTATTTAGGTTTTAAAAGGTACACAAATCTTGGGAAGACAGAAGGAATAATACTAGACTATTGATACTGACTCATATTTCTGACATGTCTAAAGCCTATTGATGAAAGAAGGCAGTATTATTACCAAGAGGGGATATTCAGATATGAAATAAGGGGAAAAATCTGAATGTAACCTAACATGAGTAGGTGTCATTTAGGAAGCATTTAGACACCCACAGACACAAAATACCACAAAAATGATTTTAAATTTTAGATCTAATGGTAATCAGAAAAGAATTTTTTTGTTCTAGAAGTTTGAGTGTAATTGGGAGTTGCTGATAAAAAATAGGGTAATCTCATCTTTGGGAACTGGCACAATATAAAGTAATTGCTTTGTGTTAAAATATAGAGCATTAAATAATATTTACATTAATTCAAAGCAGATGATAATTTTTTAGTATTCTGTAGTTTGTTTTACTTAAAGTTGCCTTTGACTTTTTGGGGTCACTGTTACTCATTTGAAATTAAATTACCTGTTACAGAGAGGTGATTTATGCTAATTTAATGATTAGTCACCTTACGAAGTTTATTTCTACTATTCTCCCTTGGTCAAAATATTCCTCACCCCTTCAGATAACTAAGAACAGCTTCTTCTGAGCGTGTGATACAAAAGCAGATTATTGAAAGTGAACCTCTCCCTTTTCATTTTAAAGTTTGTTTTTCAAAACACAAAGGAATGCAACCAAATCCTCAGATTTTCAGCTTTTTACAGTTATAGATAATAGATTTCTACATGAGTTTTCTGGTTTGTGCTGTCATAAGGGGGGAGAAAGGAAGAAATAATCAGTCCTAGTGCTGCTGTGGTTAATCCAGTTTCCACCAACAGTGAGCAAGCCTAGGACCTGGAAAAATACTTTGGCCTCTGCTTCGCCTCTTTGGTTTTGGAGCATCTCAGCAGACCCCTTCATGGTGAGGAGAGCAGAAATGGTTCCACTGGCATAAGCCTTGGATTTTGGCTTTGAATTGCAAAACATTTGTATGTGCCAAGGAGGATTCCTAGCTTCCTGGCACAGCAGGGTTGAAGTCTCAAGATTCACCTCCTGGCATGTTCTTAAAGATGGTTTTAGCTTCAGGGTACAGACAGCCCACGCTGAATTATTCACTGTCTCACAGATTAGCTGGGAGAAGCCTTTGACAATATCTATCAATTCCATGCCTATAAAAATGGATAATAATATGTTTCCTAACTTGAAGGCACTACCTGTCACACATGCTCATATTGGGCAGATGGTAGAAATATCTTGAGTACTGTTTTTTGTTTGCTAAATTCCAAGCCTGCTATTTTAATGCAATTTTTGATATTTTGCTCTCTGGCAATTTAGGATCTAATGCAGGTTTTTTGCAGAAAAATGAGAACTGTGAAACAGCATCCTTTCCATGTGCTCAGGTGGACAGTGCCCACTGAATGTGCTGGAGGAGCATCCTGCTGTTCAGGAGCAGGAGGGGACAGTCAGTCTAAATCTAATCCTCAGTACATGAGACTTGGCAGGTCTGCACCTGCCCAGATTTGTTTCTTTCATTCTAAGGAGGACTTGTGTCTGAAGTTGTTTCTGTACAGGTCATCTCTCTCAGAGTCAATCTTGGTTCTTTTCCAGATCATGTTATCAGCTAAGCTTTGATTGTGGCATCTTAATTAATGGAGACAGAAGGAAATCACCAAGGCTTTCAAATCCCCCTGTGGATTTACAGTGCTTGCAATTAGAAAATTTGTAGTTTTCACTGTAAAATGAACAGATTTTGTAGTATAATAATAACAACTTAGTATGATTCATTGGTATCTTCTGTACCAGAATATATTTGGGCCACTTTCAGTATGAGCTACGTAAGGTAGATCAGAATTTATACAGATTATTTCATCTGAGGATTTCAGGCTGCTTACCAGACATTAATTAATTTTAACTTCACAACACCCTTGAGACTGAATGCTTAACCTCACAGAGATGTTTCTGTTTTTTCTATATTTTGCAAAATATAAGCATACTTAAAACTTATGAGTATTTAAAGAGGTAGATAAAGGAGAAGAAACCCAATACATGATAACCTTACCTGCTAATAAAACAGTTTTCACTCAGGAAAGAGGTAAATTTATTAATAGCAATCAAATCTAACAATGGAAAATTGGTTTTGTTTTTTTCTTATAATTAATTTTAAAATTGCTGTATTTATAATTTGTTACTAGATCAGCAGGAATGCACTATTTACATGTAATAAAATATCCAAGGGTGTGACATGACCTATGTGTATTTTTTAGTAATTAATTAACATGATGTACAATACAAATGAAATTTATTGAATATTTAAAAGGAGCTTTTTAGTTGCAGTTTGAACTAACCTCTTGTTTTGTACATTGACTGTAATTGTATTGTGATTTTTTTGCTTGCATATTAGCATATCAATATCATTAAGAGATACATACTAGCAAAAAATGAGTAATGGAGGAATTGATTTTGAAACAAAGAAAGTTCAAAGTTAAAAGTTGCTACAGAAATGTAAATCAATTAATGTTTTTCATATATCCTGTCTTTAAAGTGGTTTGTACTAGCTTTTGAAAGTTGTGCTTGGATCAGCCACACTGGGGAAATTATTATGCTCTGCTATGTACTTGAGGAAACAAAGGTAAAGGAAGAAAGTGGGATGAAATCAGAAATGATGCAGGAACTGAGGTGAATAAATCTGTGCTGGCAGCTGAAGGGCAGAAGCTTTGGAAAGGCTTTGGCTGCTGCACAAGCAGAGGAGTGAAACAACCATTAGAGTCTCAGGGACAGAGTTTTTGCAGAAGAGTTGGCATTGATTTTTCAGTCTAGGAAGCGTTAGGGTTGGCAGGTTAGGAGCACAACCACAGTGGGAGTGGACAATCAGCATTAGGAAATCTGGATCTTCAGCTTGTACAAAAAAGCCCCAAAGACAAATGCAATTTGAAGTGTTTAAAACATGTTTGTTGGTTTCAGAGGCTCTTTGCTGAGAGACATCATTGCTCTCTCATCATGGGCTTCACCCATCATAAGAAAGGAAGAGTCTAGATTTTATTCCATTAGGATTAATACATTTTTCTCCTTACTTCTCTCTATTGCCATCACAACACATTTCCCTTAGTTTGATTGGGTTTTTTTATTTTACCTCAGTCTTTTTCTCAGCTGCTTTCTAGTAGGAGGGAGAAATACCTCATTTTTTACACAGCCTTTCATTTGCAAGAGCTCCTGAAGTTACACCAATGCACCACTGCTCATTCCCCCAGGGGGCATTGGTCTGGCTGTGTACTCCATGCTGTTCTTGTGCTGTTTATAAGTAACCTAGCAAACTGGCATTAGTGCCAAACTGGTTTTAATATTGACATTATTTCCTTGTGAGGTCAAATTGATAAACTGAGCAGTGAGCATTGAGTAGTTTGGGCTTGTTCCACCTGCAAACTGCCAGGTTGGATTCATGAGCAGCATGTGTTCTGCATGCTCCACACAGCCTGTCAGCTGCCAGGAACCCCTGACTGGATGTGAAGGTCTGGGATGTGCTTTATGAGTACTTTGTCTGTGGGCAACATTTTCTGGATGTGCAGAATGATGTGACCCAGACTATTTCAGCACTGGACTTGTCTAAACCAAGGTGTAAAATCTTCTTTAAGGAATATATTGTGAAAGGTGAATAACTGCACTCAGAATTCCTATGCTGACAGTTGCTTGTCTTTTCTTTTAAAGATAAAACAATCAAATTGTGGAAAATTACTGAAAGAGATAAGAGACCGGAGGGGTACAACTTAAAAGATGAAGAAGGAAAGCTTAAAGATCTTTCTACAGTAACATCACTGCAGGTAAGCTTCTGTCCATGTCCAAAATTCAGTTGTTTCTGTATGAAAAAGGTAGTGCTAAGTCCGTAAAAGATTTAATACGTACGTAATGTTAAGTATTTATAGGATAATTCTAACTGAAGCTTTAGCTGACTGCTAACTGTATTGAATCTGCCACATATTTGCAAGTCACAAATGCTTTAAGATATACTGACCAAAATAAGTATTTTTGAGAGTTTATGTTGGTTTTATTTTTCCTGATAAAATTCTCTTATTGTGATTTAATGTGCTTTCATAAAAGGTTCTTTAACCTGTGGTGCTGGAAGCATTTTATTTGTAATTAATTTTGAAGAGGGTTCTTGACACATTCAGAGCAACTGAGTTAAAGACAGTACACCAAATTTCAGTTTCATCGTTTTTTTGGTTTTATAAAAAAATATTTTAAGAGTGGGATTTGCAGTAGTCTGTGGTCTGGTAAACCTGAGAATCTGCATTGCTGAAAAGATGCAGTCATGGAACTCATATAAGCATATGTGATTGTAGAATCATTTAGTTTGGAAAAGACTGTTGAGATCAAGTCCAACCATGAACCCAGCACTGCCATACTCAATAAACCAGGTCCCCAGGTGCCACTTCTACACATCTTTTAAATACCTCCAGCTATGCTGACTCAACCACTTCCCTGGGCAGCCCCTTCCAGTGCTTGACAAAAATTTCAGTGAACAAATCTTTCCTAATATCCAATTATAATATAATAACCGATATAATCAAATTAAAATATAATAAACTTCCAAGTGCAACTTAAAGCCATTTAGTTTTCTCCTGTCACTTGTTTCTTGGAGAGGAGAACCATCATCCACATGTTAATGTAGATTTTTGCTCTCAGACTTTTTTGGCTGAATTCACTCCAGGTGTTTTGGCAAATGAAAGTGGCTAAAGGTTAGAGCTGGACGGCTATGTTGTAAACACTAGTATGTCTTTATTACTGAAAACAAAACAACCCAACAAGTCTGTTGGGGGAAAAAAGCTTCTATAATGTAAATATGACTACATTAATGGAATATTTATCTATTCTGTATGATTAGGCAAACAATACTATTCCAGATTGCTTATAGTCTGAGAATTCTCTGTAAACTCAGCTTCCTCTTGAGGGGAAATGGAGAGGCAGGTCCTGATCTCTTCTCTGGGGTGACAGTGACAGGACAGGGAATGGCCTGAAGTTGTGTCAGAGGAGGTTTAGGTTGGATATCAGGTAAAGGTTCTTCACCCAGAGGGTGGTTGGGCACTGGAGCAGCTCCCCAGGAAAATGATCACAGCACCAAGCCTGGAAGAGTTCAAGAAACATTTGAACTCTGCTCTCAGGCACATGGTGTGGTTCTTGGGGATGGTGCTGTTCAGGGAGTTGAACTCTGTGATCCTTGTGGGTCCCTTCCAACTTGACATATTCTGTGATTCTGTAATTCAAAAGTTGAGTTTTGTTTTGTTCCTTGAGTAGAAAGTGAAACTCAAATATTTCAAACTCAAACTCTGTTTTCCTCTTTTAGACTACCTTGTGGGTTGATGTATGATAGATTGTTTCTGATGCATGTTCAACAACATGGAATAGTCCCAGTCATGGACCACAGCTTTACATTGTTTAATGCTTTATTGATAGGAAAAAAATTGAGTGTCTTCTTATTGAAGCATGACTTTGAAGTGACACACAGGGAGGTAATGAGGGCACATTGACAAGTGATAATCTGTGATATTGGCTTTTCGGGGGTACATGTGTATGTACAGTATGTCGCGTTGGCTTTGTTTTGCAAGCCTTTATTTATTATGTTTCTCTGAGATTACAGCCTTTTCTCCATGTGAGATTTTTGAAAGAGAAAAATCAAGTAGCAAAAGAAATAGAGTTAAGTGATTCATAACTGAGGGCAAACCCTTTGGCAAAAGCAAAATATGAGTGCTTCACTGCTTGACAGAGCCTTCTGCACATGTGAGCCAGTAGGTCGTGCAGTGGGACTGACCAGTCCCTCCCTTCCCACAGTCCGGGTTTTCCATCACTCTGCCTGCCTCTCTGGTCTCTCCTTTCTTGCTTAGCAAGGAAGGCCTTGCCCAGCAGTTAATCCATGGGGAAGTTCAGCTTGTGTACATTGTCAAGAAGGTTTATAATATCACGGTCTTTGAATGCTTTCTCTCTATTGGAATTCTCATCATCCTAAGTGGTATTTCAAGTCTTACTCTCTCTCTGGTTTGTGTTTTTTTTTTTTTTTTTTTTTTTTGTTTTGTTTTTGTTTTTGTTTTTTTTTTTGGCAGGTGCCTGTATTGAAACCCATGGATTTGATGGTGGAAGTCACTCCCAGGAGAATCTTTGCTAATGGTCACACCTATCATGTCAACTCAATATCCGTCAACAGTGACTGTGAGACGTACATGTCAGCGGATGATCTGAGGATTAACCTCTGGCATTTAGCTATCACAGATAGGAGCTTCAGTATCCTTTATTGTGATTCCTTGCTCAGTGTTCATGTTATTAGTGGGCTTAACAGGACTATTTTAAAATATTTTTCTGCAGGTTTTAAAATATACTTTTACTTACCAGAATCCCTGCAGCATTTGTAAAGAAAATGTTGGGATATTGTAAGAGACAGCTAAGAGATTGAAAAAATCAGGGAATTTTATATAAAAAATAATGGTGTTGGTTAAAGACATTTAAATAGGAAACAAATGCCAGCTGAATGGTAACTATCCACCTGACTAGAATACTCTGTACTGTCATATCCTGAAGACATTTCATGCTGAGCTATTGCACCTTGTTTTGCTGCAAGGTCAGTCCTTACCCTGCCCCTGCCCCCCATTCTCCATCATCCTGCTTTCCACAGCCCTGATGCCCGAGGTGCACAGTTTGGGGGTGAGGCTCAGCTGCTTTGTGTGAGTTGTATCTGTGATTAATGCAGGCATTGATGTTTCGAGTGCTGGTGTTATCCTGGAAGCTCCGTTGTGGAATCATTCTGGCCATCTGTGAGGCTGCCCCTTGCACTACAACCGGGTGTCTTGGAGGGGGAGCAAAAGAGAATGTAACCAAGAAAAGTGATTCTCTGTGTTTTGCAGAACATAAATAGACTGGTAAGAAGAGAAATAGGTTATGGGGCCAGGTCAGAATGTTGTATTCCTTTGGTGATTTCTTTTTGAGTGCATCAAAAGGAGCCAGAAGAATATGTCTCTGTGGGTTTATATGAGGGGCTATCAGATGTCAAAGTGAAGTTGTCCTGTTGGGGTAGATTTCCTCAGAGAGGGCACCAATGTGATGGGGTGTTCTCCCTGTCTCTGGTGATTGTATTTCTTCCTTTGTGGGCCAGATCATCTTTGAAATTCAACCCATCCTTTGCTAATGTCACAGGAAACAATGGTCTTTAAATCAAGCAACACTTAATGTCCTTAAAGAATTACCTTTGCAGGGTCAAGTGACAGGTGCCCTTACCCTGGCGATTGTATATCTGAATATCTATCTCCTCAATTTGTTTCCAAACTCATAGTGCTTTTCTGTCCTTCACCCATATAGATTAAGCAAGCTTAATAGATTCCCTCCTTAATATGACTGTTTATTTAGGAACAATTTTTACGTGGTACTTCAAAGCCCACCTATGTCTGTCTTAATATCCAAGCATCCGTACTTTCATTCTTTAGTAAGATAAGACAGATCATAATTATTTGCCAGTACAGCTGTTTGGAGTAGCAGTGTGGCTCTGACAGTGTCCTCACAGCAGATTCACCCTCCAGACTTCTCTCTGTCCTGGACACTTTTGTGTGTGACTCTGCTGTGTGTTCTCCTCTGCTGTGTGTCCTCCTCTTGTAAGGCAGAGCAGTGGATCAGGCCAAGCACAGTAACCTCTGTATGCCTGTGTGTGATCACCAGATCACATTCCAGAATGCTTATGCAAGATAAAGCTTTGCCTTTGCCAATTCCTTTTATTGTATTAAAGCTCTTTAATAATCTATGGATTGCCAAGACAAATGTTCTTGAAAAGTTTAAAAAACCAAGTAAACAGTTATTATTATAGTTCATGAAGACAACATGAATTATTAGTGCCATTTGCCACACTAAGAGCTTACTGACAGAAATATCAGCAGTAAGTGAATAGCTGTGTGGACCTTGTTTCAAGCATTATATCACTCCTGTGGTTGAGTGTTGGGGAAGATGAAAAGTTGAGTATGTACTGATAAAATGTCTTTGAAGGTTTCTGATTGATTCATGGATTTGGCTCTTAAAACATGGTAAAGTTTATAGTGACACACTCATTTTCTGAGTATTTTCTAAGAATGATCATGAGAGGGAAATTAAGAGTGTGTTTTTGAGTTTTAGGATAGGAAACTTTTCCTGTGTCTGAGGCAGTGGCTTTGGGATACTTGGATTTCTGTCTTGGATTGGGATACAGATATTGCTGCTTCTTTTGCACTTGAATGAAAATCTGCGAGGACTGTGATGAGAGAGTTCAAGCAGTGACAGGAGATAACACTAGGTAATGGGATAATCAATTCTAGGGGCAAAATGTTCCGGCTAAGATGCCCATGGTGGCAGCAGGTTGGCTTTTGTGGCTGGATACCTGTATGTATTCAGGAGAGTAGGCTGAGTTAAAGACCCACTGCTGTTTCAGACAGTATAAGCTGTACCTGTCTGTACTCAGTTGTCAAAACCAGGTGATCAGGCAGATTACTTTTACTTAATTCTTTGATAAACAGAAATTTTGACATAGATACTCCAAGAGAAGGTGAGATAATTACAGAATATTGCTCATATTGTGGAATTAACTGGGAGGCCATAACTGAAAGAAGGGGATGAGTAAGTTAAACTTGCATCAGTCTCCTGACAGGGATCTTTTTGTCCATACAGAGCCCTGTACATCTTGTAAAATGGCAGGGATGTGTTTTTCCATGGATAACAATATCTGTCCCTGAAACTGCATTTTTGCCCTACAGAAAAACAACTTACATAAAAATCTCCTGGAAGCAGATGAGTTTCTGGTAAAATCAGTGGGTGTGCCAGTTGCAATTAAGACTAGACATATTAAGGTGAAAAAATTCTGCCAAGCAAACAGTTTAAATTATAAATGAATGTTGCTGGGCTTGGTGCCTTCTGTAACACATTTATGGGGATAGGCAGGAGGAGGCTGAGGCTGTTTTAAAAATGCTTGTTTCACATCTTTTTACTGAATGCAAATGGGAAATGAAGCATCTTGCTGTTTTACATTCAAGGCTTGATTCCTTGAAATGCATGTTTAAAACAGTAAATAGAAAACATTTTGGTTTGAAGTGGATTTTCTTAATAAGGGATCTGGCAGGGATGAGTATTTGTCTTTCGATTTTCCCTCAGAGGCAGCCCTGCTACAATATAATGGCCTACAGTCTGTTTGCCCAAGAGGCTGGTTGTGACAATGACACAAACAGCAAATACAGTGGTAGAGTTTCTGGACATTCACTTCATGTCTGAACATCTTTACAAACTGCATGAGAAATGCTAGAGAAAAGACTGAATGAGCAGCAGTATGTTTAGGTATTTTACAAGTAAAATACTTCGCCCTGCAGAATTTAATTTAAGAACAGTTTGGTTATGATCACAGTTTTAACAGTTTTACAAATCACTGATAATTTTTCATTTCTTTGAAAATACAGAACAATGGAGATCTTAAAGTAATTCTCTTTCTGTAGTCTTTGGGAAAATGTTTTAAATCAGCTTTGCAGAATTTGACCAGAATATTTACTTTAGGTAAAGCCTTAGGCTGGTAAATTACAACTAGTGCTTTTCTGGTTTGCTTTTGTATTAGTGCAAGCATTAGATGGGGTGAAAAGCGGACAAGTGAGTTTATGCTATGCCTGTGTAAATTTAATGAGGAGTATGCAAGACTTCTTTACATTGCTTCCCACTTGGAAATGGATCTGCTCTGTATTGTTTGGGCAGGAGGAGGCAAGGGAGAGGAGGAGGTGGGAGAAAAGGAGGGGGGAAGATTAGCCTGGTAAATAATTGCACATACTAGTATTTTCTTCAATAAAAGGTTTTAATGTGTTTGCTTGTGTTGGGGAGAGCGAGAGTCAGTGACCTTAATTAGGAATGATATTCTGCACTGGAAAAGAAGTAAGGTAAGGGTTGCTGTATTTGTTAATGTTTGGTCTGAAATGGCTTAGCAGTGTTGCCCATAGCTTAAGTCTTTAGATAGTCATCTTGGGTGAAATGAATGAGAAAAAAGGACTGCCAGGAGCATACTGATAAGGCTTACTTGCCATTAGCAGCAATCTTTGGACTATCTAGCTGCACTAAATATTCTTTATGAGAATGTATTTGGATTGCTCACAGAACTATGTAGCTCATAGCACTTGAACTCCCTTCATTTCCTGGTAGCACACTATTTCACTCTAGAGGCTGTCATGGCATTGCTATGGAAACAGCATTGCTGTTTCCAGCATGTGCTCATCTTGAGACTCATCTTGACTAAAATACTCATTTCTCAGTCAGATCAATATAGTCCAGGGTTATCCTGTTTTAATAAAAAATTCCTTCTTCTCTGTCCCAAAAGGGTTAAGCTAATTAGCAAATCACCATAGGGCCTTCTTGCAGTCTAATGTATTCTGGTATTTGAGGCATATCTTGGATAGTCAGTTTGTTAGGCACCATATCTTGGGAAAATGAATTTACTTAAGAAGTAAACAACAGGAAAAAATAGAAAACCCTAAAATAACATGGTACATTGATGGAGGCCAAGTTTGTGGCAGCTTACTGTGCATCTGAATGTAATGCATATATAGGGAAAATACAGAGCTCTGGGAGCAGCCTAGGCTGGGGGAAATAGCCAGCCTTACACAATCCCTGTACCTGTCTCAGTGCTCAGTATGTGAAAGCTAAACTGAAGCAGATCTGCAGTACTGTCTTGTTATTTGTGGAGGAAGTTTATACCCTTGAGTGAGATAAGGCTGTTTGTGTAAAAATGCCTGAGCCAGGATGACTGTGCACAAGGTGTGTGCACAAGGATGCCTTTTCTGTGCCCTCAAAAGTGTGTCTGTACTGTGTGAGAAACTGCTGCCACCCCCACCCACTGCACTGATTTCCTACAGAACACACCTTCTGTTTGGGACATGGCAGATCTTACTTCTCTTTTGGGAGCTCTGTCTAAGCCATGTTAGCACCTCCTATTCTGCCAAGAAGAGTGTGTCAATCTCCATCAGGTATTTAAAAGGTGAATGTTATACCGTGGAGTCATATTCCAGCTGAGTTGCTACCAGCAACATTTGAGTAGCTTTTCCTCAAATTTCTGTTCTTTTGTTCTTTACTTCCTAGAGTCTCTCCCTCGTGCACATGCACTGTGTCTCTCTCTCTCTGGTAAAGGAGAATGAAGATGCCTGCAATGCTAAAATCAGATCTGTAAGTTAGAGGATTGCAGAGGTGCCATGTACACTGATCCCATAGCTTGGAGAGCTCTCTGATTCTAACTCTTGAGAAAGGAT